TGCTCAAGTATTTTTTAAAATTCCGAAAGGTTAGTCCGTAGAAGTGGTATGTGGCCTAAAGTTAAAGGCCAAGGAAAATACATGTAGCATTTTTCAAAAGTGATATTGATATAACCTGAACCAAAATGAACGGCTTACAAGCGCCTTCTCTATAAACAAGGATAAGGATGGAAACCTTTTGGCGTCTTTCCCATTACCATTATGAAGGCATAAAGCCATCCTCTTCTGCATCATTGATTCCACATAAATGAATTCTTTTGTACTTTATTCCTGCTCTCATCTCTTTTAGCTTACATACCACCTCACTGCAAAGCAAAATATCTATCAATCAACCCAAAGCTGCAAAGCTCTGCAGTGCAGCAAAAATCTGTCTGGAAAAATTGAAAAGAAGCTCTTTTACCCAATCCACCAGAATGAAGTAATCTGTAGACGCTTCAATGGATACGGGATGAGTTCTGGCGTATGGTGGGAAAAACCACAAGAGACTCTACATTACTCGAAAGTGCAGCTGCTTGTAACATTTACAATTGAAGTAACGAGTAGCACTAAATATGACAATGCCCATAATCATTGAAAATGATGGCACTATGATGGCAGTAAGCAAGTATAGGAGTACTTATTGCACTTAACGTAGTTTTCTAGGGCAAATTTGCTCTTATGAAAATCAATATGATTGGGCAATGTGAGAAGTATGTGAAATTTCAGAGTCATCTGTCATTTAGCACTTTTTTCTGCAATAAAATTATTAACAATTGTCAAAGAGGCCTATGAAACCTACGCTGGATTCCACAAATTGAACTTAAAGAATTTGTAGGCTATAATCTACTCCAAAGCAAATCTAGATATAGCTATAATGTTTGCAAGGGATCTATGTGCTGTTTCTGAATAGAAATTATCAAAAGCTCCAACGAAATACTCACGGTTGTCACTGAGAACGTATCTCTGACAGATGATGCCTGGCGGGTAGGACTCGGCGATCATAGCCATCTCGAGTGTAAATTGTGAATAGGGAGAGCAACAAACGAGTAATCCAACTCGTGACGGGAGAAAGGCACCAAAATGTGTGAAGCTTTGGAACAATTAGTGAGAGGAAGATTTAGAAGAGACGACTGGGCGCACTTTGATTGAGGGGAAACGAGAGGGCGTGGCATGCCTTCTCTTCAAAAACGCCTCCAATAAACAGCAACATCGCAAGTCTTGACACATACAAGCACCAAATGAGGGCAGCAAATGAGGTTGCTGAGGGCAAGGGATGAGATTTATGAGGATGATGATGTTCTTGGGATTAGGAGGGCTCTCGGCAACATGATGCGCTTATATATGTTTACATGAGAAGCAACGCTATTTGTTTGGAATACAAATCGCTATGTAAACCTCTTGCGGCTATTTCAAGAGTGCATTTAGCGCTTTCTCCATCTCTTCTCGAGCTTCCGGTTCTTTAGATGCGTACATAGTCAAGTGAGCGGAAAAAGGCCATATAAATGGTCCACGTAATTGGTAGTAGCCAGATTTGGATACTCAACCCCGTGTCCTACTCAAGAGCATATCGCAAAAATTGACCTTGGGTTATAGGATCTCAAGGGATTTTAACTGATAGCTACATGGTGCCAATCTCAAAGTGTCCAATCACCTTGAAATGTTTATTTACACAAGAACGTCTGGAAGAACGTAGATAAGAAGAAGATGGACAAACATGGTTGGATCTCAGATCGCCTGTCTGTCTGATTGCAAATGTTGATAGCCTCCTTAGGGTTTTCGAATAAAATTACTGAGAATAAATATAGTAACCAAAGTAAGGACCAAATTTTTAGAAATTTGCTCTAAGCATCATCACAAAAAGTGTTCCAGAAGAGTCGTGAGAGTTTCAAAAAGAGAAAGTAGCATTATTCAAAAAACCTTTCCGTACTTTCTGACATTTTCGCAAAATGTACGAGCGGGCAGAGAATAGAGATTACTCGCTCATGCAGGGAATTTTTGTACACAAATTAGGTTTAATAGAAATGCCTGAGTAGGAAGGCAGTTTTGCGCTACTATTGTCATAATCTACAACAACTCCACGACTTACGAGATACTTTTTTAAATAAAATGAAGCGATTATTTGTATTTCGAATTATTTGCAATGATATCCCAATCGATACATCTTTGAAGGAAGTAGAAGTCAAACATAACAGCTCCGAATTATCACTGGATATTTTGTCAATCACGGCGTATATTTGAAGACAAAGAATCGTTTCGAAGGTTATAAGCTGTTTTAAATCATAATTTTAAAAAATATTGAGAACAATCACCAAAAGCAAAGGTTAGAGACCGAGACTATTTGTATTCAGACGTCTTGCGTTCAAACACCCATCCACTACTTATTCCCTAGACGGCTGAAGGACTTCCCCCAGCTCCATCTACTTGTCTATACTAGAGTTAAAAGTTAGAATTAACTGGTTAGTTCTCTAAACTTACATAGTTCCGTCTAAGCTGTAAGGCGGACATCAAAGCATTTGAGGTGGCAA